CTTTGAAGCAACGTGGCATGACCGTGAGCGACCTCTAGTCGTCTCACGGTGCGAAATTATTTACTCAGGGCGACACCCAGTCGACCCACGACACCTGCGGACAACAGACAATTTGAGTTGGGGACACTTGATAGCTCGAAAAAGCTGCCCCAACATCCATAGACAATGTTTCGAGATACGGACATCTTACCGACATTTTTAGACAAATGGAAACATTTAATTTTTCATAATTTTAATATCTCTTGAAAAGTTTACCTTCCAGCATATTCCCCAAACATACATTTCATTTTAAAAACAATATAATTTATAATCCAAAATAGACTAATTTTGTTCATCTTTTCCCATAGTTTCCCCCCATCATTTTCAGCACGGTAAAACAGTATAGGAACATTTGTGCTTGGCTTTCTTTTTTGCATTTTGGCATGCCTGAAGATCAGATTATATGTGTGGTTTTTTGCTGCACCGGTATTTTTTATATCTTGAGTTCGAGAAAATAGTTGTGTTCAATTTTCGGGTATTCCATTCCCAAGTTTTGTATCAACAGGAGAAAACATTAAATATATTCCGAATGAAATATGCGTAAAAAAAAAGTTTCGATAGACAAATGGACAAGGTCCAAACACCAACTTTCGTTGGCATCTCGAGACAGCACAGTATATATACAAATTGCACTTAAAAAATCGCCATTGAATATGAGATTCAGAATTATTTTCTCGTGCGAATGAAATTCTAACCCTGAAGTCATATCGTATTACTGTACATAGAATATTATTAGCCACCGTCATAAAAAATACGTTCCAGGAGAAATAATAGAATGAGAAGCAATTGAAATTAACAGAAGAACATCTTTCCGGATCCCGTTCATTTGAAATAACCAGAAGAACATTTTTCCGGATCCCATTCAAAATCGCGCCTTTTCGCATGCAGTACTGCGAAGATATAATTTTCAGTGATCTCTTCGCTTCTTTATTCGTCGCTTTCGTAAAAAGAATAACGCATCTCCGACGAAACGATGGCGATGGAGATAAGTAATTAAAATAACCAGAAGAAAAAAATTCCAGTTCCTTTTCAAAAACTCGCTCTTTCGCACACAGCATTTCTGACAAGATATAATTGTTAGCGATCTCTTAGCTTACCAGAGATATCAAAAGGTCAACTCGATCGGACATGTCCGGATGCAGCCCATGAATTCGAGAACATCAGATATGACAATGAGAGGGACTGCATATTGGTACAGTACACATAGAGAATAAAATTTGCCCCTATATGGTGTATATATACAGTTAAATATACAGTAGTACAGTACGTGTATACTGTACATCCAGACACTCACCATCATCGACGGATGTTGCGGATGCGGTTGTTGCGTTCGACGCACCGGAAGTCGGCGAGGGTCGAGATGGTGAGCGACGTCGACGGAAATTGGCGAGCTGCTGGGGATCGGCGGAATTGTTGCCGGTGGTGCCAGCGCACCTGCTGACGATCGCAGCTGTCGACGCAGTCAGTTGCTGTGTCACTGGGGACGAGTTGCTGTCGAATTGGGCCGTCGATGCCAGTTTGTTCAAGTAGAATGATCTCAAGTGAGGTTCGGATGCCTGAGACGACCTGCTCGCGTCTCGGGGAATTCCGTAGCCGCTTTCAAACTGTGTGGAATCGAAAGTGAAGTGAAATTCTGTTTTATGTTTGTCATATGCTGGACAAGGACCACTATTCCAGCCCTTGGACGGCAGAGGGTTCTTTCTCAGTGTGCGGCGGAGTCGGGATTTTTCCAGGGGGCGGCGCATTTCAGTTTGACCTAAGGTTACTGAAATGCGCCCGGGTTGAGGAGGACTAAGTTGGGAAAAATCCGGGAGGCGAATTTTCTTTTGTTCCCAAGGTTTTCCCATGCAAATCCTATACCAGGAATGCAGGAAAAAAACGCCACCCAGCCAGGGATTTAAAAAAAAAATTTTTGAAAATTTTCTGTAGGATTATAAAAAAATCTCGGACTTTTTCCCAACTTACCCCTTGGTAAAAAAAAGCAGGTTTTTTAAATTCCCAGTGCCCAGTGGCACAACATTTTGCAAAAATATCCCGACTCTGCCGCACAAGGGCTAGATACCCAATGAAAAAAAAATTATCCGTCATTCCATGAAGCTCTGGACTCAAATGTCACTCATTACATGTTCGATTGCATTGTGACAGTATGAGAGAAACGATAATGTGAGACAGAAAAAAGCGTGCGCATGGTACCCGGTGATACATTTTTTGAGGAAAACTTTTTGAAAACTCTGTGCATTGTATACATGTACATAAAAAAGGAAATGTGTGGCACCAAGTCTTGTTGTTCATGGGAAATAATGGTTGAAGGTAAATCAGTTTTAGGAATCATTTAAAGATGCAATAGGAAGTATAAAGGAATAAGCAGAAGATATTTCTATTATTGAGGGAGCTGCGGACATTAAAAAGCAGGAAAAACAAAATTTCAATAGGGGAACATGGATCCACAAAAAAATTCACAATTCTTAATCTAATCAGCAACAAAAAAACTGGAATGTTACTCTTACACAGGGATATAGGTTTTCAGACAAATATCTGGCAGAAAAAATGAGGGTGCGAGGCTTACTCAAGGGTACGTGGTACTCCAGTAAAAATACGGTACTTCAATGGGAACATTTTATCACCAAATGTTTGACAAAGAAGAGTGGAAAAAGTCTTCCAAAAATTTAAAGAATATTTTCTCTTTAATTAAAGGTGCAGAAAATATCTGTTGAGAAGAAAAATAAAATCAATTTACCATTTTGGCATGAAAAGGAGTCCAAGAAGCAAAAATGAGCACCAAAATTATTATACCCAGTACAGATTTTCCAAAAAATCTTAAAAATAAACACAGAATTCGCTTGAGATAACTTTGCAATCAGAAAAAATTCATGCTGAGAAATATTTTTGATTTTTTCCAGCAGAGAAAAGCTAAATTTTTTCGAACTTTTTCTAAATTCGCAATATATTTCTGTGAATTTTTTCTGGAAATTTTGGAAAAGTTTTTATAGACTGAGACATTCTCCAGACATTCAGACACTTATTTTCATGTTTTTAAGTGTCTGTAAGACAAAGCGTCAGCATGTTGTGACCCTTCTGTTCTCTGTTCAAAAGGGTCAAATTCAGCATCTCAAGACGAATATCGAAACAAAACTAAACTCACTCTGGAAGACCCCAAAGGAGGTAAAGACGAATTGTGTCTCATAGGCGGTGGTGGAGGCAAGAAGTTCGTCCAACTGGTCATTCTGTGTCCATGGCCTCCACTTCTATTGCCCACGGAATCCGGAATCCCGGCTCTGGTATTTGAGCCGTATTTATGATGTCCACCAGATCGAGGTGTCCAACCAAACAAGTTGGACAAGGAGGAATCGTCGTCGCTGTCCAACTGCTGTTGGTGCTGATGACCATTATTCATCGCAGAAGCTGCCCGATTTTGGGGTAAACCGGGCATCGAAAATGAGGATTTCGTGGGAAAGTGGCGAGGGTTCTGATGGCGATGCATCTCGAATATGCTGTCTTTGTTGTGTTGGCCATCACCCGAGACCCGCTGATGGATTTTTCGACCAATGCCGAACCCTGGTTCGTTCAACACTCCAGAAGACGCTGGAAATTCCAAAGCAACATCCAAAACTGACGCCATAAGAAAATAGATTACCATAGAAGAAAATAGTCAAGACGATTTCATCGGGGAGAAGTCAATTCCATGGAAGTGAGACGATGACTGGAAATTATTGTACAGTTATGATGATGACGAAATTGTTTTGAAGAAAAAATTAACGTAAAGGGGGTGAAATGTGAAACAGACAATTGCTAGGTAACCTTTTTCTCAAAAAATTGTGTTGCAATGTGAAATTTTTTTGAAGAAAAAATCAAGTTAAGGGGTGAAAAGTGAAACAGATTATGGCTGGGTAACGTTTTTGTCCAAAAATTTGTGTTGCAATGTTCCCTTGAATACTTTTTGAAGCGAGAAGAGAATTCAGGAGGCAACAAGAATTTTGAATTATGATCCTTTCATTTCTCACAATAATGCTGGAAATTCAAAAGCAATGCCACAAGAGAATATACAAACATATACTACAAATGATAATATCAAGGAGAAAATTGAGTCAGTTCAACTTGGGTGAAACAGCTGAAGTAAAAATTACATAGGATTAAATGTTGACAGTGTTGAAAAATTTGAAAAAAAGACCACCGATTGATTTCTTCTCCCAGATCTTTTTCGTCATGAAAATTTTCTCTGAAAGCTATCTCGGGATTGCTCAAAGCCAAAAAGTTCTGCTAAACCTCTACCTTCCCGCCTTCATCAACACAATTGTTCATAAAAACAAAAATACTGTGGTTATTCATTAGTCTGAGAAAACACAGCGAAGAGAACTGACATAATTTTACTAACCATGCTTAGTTCCAGGAAACCTGTTGGCGGGTTCTCCGGGATGCAGAAGATGACGATTCCTTTGGCTGTCAGCAACTTCCGTCCTGTAAATCGCGGATGACGCGTACGGAGCAGGACTAGCAGCGCCATCTTCCGGATCGTCACGCGAAGCGGAAGAATCGTCGCATTTCTTCCTCCGCGCTGCGGATGAATTGGAGGATCTCAGCAGAAGCGCCTGGGACTCGTCAGCGTCTGAGCTTCTCCCGTCGCCGGAATTCCGGTTAGAGCCGGAATTGCTTCCGGTGGTGATTTTCTGGTCGTTCTGTTGCGGTTGTTGTTGTTGTTGCTGTTGTTGTTCAACGACTTCGTCGCCGTAGGTCCAGTTAGAGTTGGTCCAGCAACCTTCTTTGCTGCCGTTCAAGTAGCAGAGAACCTTTTCTGGCTCTGTGAAGTATTAGGAATTCAAACGACTCTTTAATTTGAATTCGAAAAAGGTGGAGCTTTAACTTCTAAATCATCATGAATGCACATTAAAGTAAGTAGGGAGGAACAATTACACATTCAACATCGAAATCGTTTTTTTTTTTTTCAAAAAGCGTGTTGCCATGTTCCCTTGAATATGTTAAATTTTCGTTTCGACAAATACGATCACAGTAATTTTTACAGAACGGAAAACTTTTCTCAAGTCTGCTGGCAGAAAACCTTTATAGAGTACATGTCAAAACAATCTCATTATAGAAACTTCCCAGTTCCACTGTAACACATTATTTTTTCAAATGTTTAATACATTCGCCAAAATGAAATTTCAAATCCAAAATGTGACTCTGTCCAAGTGGTTTGACACATCACCCTCCCACAGAATGAAACAATTAGCGCAAATGATGGGGTGCATGATTGGAGTTATTTTTTTCAAAAGATTATTCAGTTTTTTAATTATTTAAAAGAAATCTGAGGATGCCAGAAAAACACGATCTAAGACTCTAAATATTTTTAGTCAGGTTTGATGTGCAAAATGTTTCCAGTTCATAATTTTTAAAATCTCATCATAAAAAATTATGCAGCACAATAAATTGTTTTCTGAAAGTACCCAAGAGCGTGTTGTAAAAAGATTTTATTACATAACTTTTAAAGCAAAGCACGACAAAGGTTTTTCTTCTTCTTCTAAAAACACGTTGAATTGTCCCTTCCAATATACCTTATTTTGAAACAGGATAAGAAACGTATGAATCTCCCAAAGCTTACTTAGGTATTTAAAAAAAATGCAGAAAGAGGTCTAAAAGCCGATGCTTCGTCAAACCGGAGAATTTTATAGATCGAACGCTGTGGGCCTTCAAAAAGTTCCCCGTGTGGGAACACAACTCAGAATATTAAAAAAAAATTAGTAGTAGCCCGAGGCACTGTACAAAATAACTGTCCCATGACGTATTAAAATTCCAAATTCTCAATCTCACCCAGATAAGTACCCTGGTCGCCTTTGTTGGCCTGTCGCCTCCGAAAAACGACAGCAGCTACAAAGGCTGCCAGTGCCAGAAAAACGGATCCCGCGGCGAGTCCGATGAGCCACAGGTCCCCGTCCAGATCAATCCCGTAACTGTCACCATCGTCATCGTCGTCGTCGTGATTCGACGTTTTCGTCGCTGTCACGGAAGACCCGAAGGTCTCTGCGTTTGTGGAGAACCTGAGTCTGGGTGAAAAGGGTCCGATTCCGGTCTGGGTCAAGGCCGCAATGCTGAATTCGTGAATTGCGCCGGGATCCAGTCCGTGGAGTACGAACGAGTCCGTGGACGCGTTCTTCACCATGATTTTGAAAGGATGCGGGGAATCCAGAGAAGATATCCTCAACTGCCAAAGAAATAGAAAAATAGCAAAAAGAAAAGTGCGTCAGATTATTTTAGAAACGTTTTTCTTCCCGCGGCGAACGGCCAACCACAGGATCATAAACATTTTTGATATACCCGAATTGAAAATCATGAAAAAAAATGTGTTTCCGCCCACCACCCGAAATTTCACTGTGTGCAAGGACACAGTACTGTATACCTTGTAGCTGAATAATTCCAAGCCACTTCTTCTTTCTAAGCCATAATGAAATAAAGTGAATGATAAAAGACTTACAGTATTTTTTTTAATGGCTCAAGCAATGGAAGCATTCGAAAATGGCTAACCCAAAATAACATGACAAAATGTTCAGCTCGCTTCTTGTGAGTCTACTTTACAGCATATAATGCTTCGAATTTTTCAGACGCTGCTATAATTATTCAAGGACAATAAATACGAGTAAAATGAAACTGTTGGGATCGTCATCATTCGATGTAGTCATCAGAATTTTAAGAATTTCTTGGGGTCCAAAATATTTGACGTACTGTTCGTCGTACTCCTTCTCAGAGAATTGAGTCTCGAATAATTGAAATTTCCTCGTTTTTATGAATTTAGAAGGAACTCGATGTGCGAAAACATCTGCGAATGTGCTTCGCGGACCAACAATATTAGTTGAACGATTTATAAATTATTTTTATGGGTAATGCCGCACTGGAAAAAATAAACGATCGAACTTCAGAACTAAGCTGAATGTTAATATACAGTACTAACATTCTTGCCAACTTCAGATGCTTTTTTTTAGTCCAGATAAATGCATTAAAATTTTCTAACATTATTCTTCCCTCCCTGATATTTTAAAGCGCCATTAAAATGCAATGTAAGAGTTTTTTCTTCAGTTCTATCTTGCGGTCGATCCAAAATGGATGACAGATATGTATTCACATTCTTTTCCATTAATAAATCTGTTTTGGGACATTTTGTGTTGATACTTGTGATGGAATAGTTTGGTACCTCAATATATGTATCACTATATGCAACTGACTGCTGTTAGATGGCAGCCTTATTAATTGCATACTAGATATTTTAATCTGTTCCCTTCAAGGGTTTTGAGTTTTTGACAAATCAGGTGTGCTGATACAGATGTGTGCCAGGGTTCAAAACCAAGTATATAGTGGATACTTTGTAAATGACTTGAGGCATAAAGACAAGGCCTTCAAAGGAAAAGCCGTCAAACGGAAAAAATCGGAATATCCATAAATTTCAATCCTAGGGAGAGACTTCTTGCAATTAAGAAAAGCACCCCCGTTTCCAAAATAAATTTCGCCTATAAGTTCCCTTTTTCGTTGAAATTAACGTTCTGTGGCCACATGAATCATATGAATTTCATCCATTGTTTGGGTATCATGGAAAATACCGAGAAGAGAGTTTCTCCTCTTTTTTTTCGCGTCGATTGGGATTGCACTGCTGAGGGACGAAAGCCTTTGCGGGAACGTCTTCAAGCGAAAGCGCTTCAAAGTGGCATAACTCCGGGGTCGAGAAACAGAAAATCCCCCTGGCAAAGCCGGGGATATCCTGATGATGCCCGAGGCAGTTGCAAAAGTGTTCCGTGGGAGAAATGTCAGCCTGCGGCACCGACATTCACACATGCACAGGGCACCCGCACACACACTCAAACTCCTGGAACCACTGCCTTCTGAAGACGGGGATTTCAAAAGTTGGGTGAATGAGGAAAACAAATACAGGTGGTATACCTTGCAATTTGACCTTCTGCAAGTTGATTATCCCAAAATGCAAGGGTCAAATTTGCAGGGAGGTCAACTCACAGCTCAATTCTTGCTCTGCAATTCAATCTGCTTTGGCCAATTTTTTTCAACTTTTTGCAGTGATATATTTTTTAAACTTCATGAAGTGTCACAAAATTTGACTGCTTCACAATTTGACCCCAGTTCGGAAATGGATTAGGGTTGAATGCGCATGCATTTCTCGTTTACTACCATGCAAGCAAGAATGTTCCAGAAGTTTTTGTTTGCTCCTAAAAAAGTTTATGTTTTCTTCAGTTCAAAACAAAATGCTAGAAAACTGTAAAAATGCGTCAGCATTCTTATTCCTCTGAAATTATTCGTTAGAATAATATAGGTAATTGAGCTGTCCAAGAATCAGGAACATACGTATACGTATGGTACATCTTCACGAAGGGATTTTTAGTCATAAAATAGCAAGAAAAGCAAAGTAGTGAAATGCCACCAAAAAATCAGAAACATTCCACAGGACCGCACATTTTTTGTTCTTGTTGAATATTGAGGGGGAAGTAAGAGCAATGACTCATAACTCATGCGTTGCGTTTTTCGAAAGGATCCTTCATTTCAGTTCGTACTATTTTTGTACAATTTTTTGCAACTTTTCTTTGATTTCTCATCAGTCTTGTTCAGCGGTTGTCCACATTAAACTCAATTTAAATAATGATCTCAATTTTTAAAACCCTTTCTCGTGAATGTCTTCAACACAGTTTACCCACTCAGAAAATATGAAACAAATTGAATCGGACGAAGCGTTTACTCGATCATTTTCTCATATTTCTTTGTTGACTTTCATGGCTGCCAATTTATCAGAAATTTAAATATCAGCAATCAAAATTCGTTTCGAATGCCATTAATTTTTCTGATCGGAAGGAACTGTTTTCTATTAATCGCTGGGTGGCAATGATGGTTTGAACTTGATTCGCAAAATTTTGAAAAGCCCCCGTCTTATTCGAATGACAGTACGATACACGAGACACGGTGAGTTAGGAGAAGAAACACTCTCCCAACTTGGACTTGACGGGGTTCATTGTTGCTTCTAATGCAGTTGCATGTTTCGAGGGCAGGTCAGAAAACTCAATTTTCGAGAGGCGGTTGTCCGAATCCAGTAAAATAAATTCTTGTTTTCGAAAATAAAACCTTTGTGCCGAATTTAGTTTCCTATATATCCCTGAATTTTCCAACACTCCATTCCTCTGGGTTCCATTGAACTCTAAATATACTGTGTATACAATTTTATTTGATATTCATCCATTGACGGAATAAGACAAAATTTTTCAAAGTGTGTTTAAAAATAAGCTGTGTTTTACATTTTGGAAAAATAAAATTAACGAGATGTATCAAGGGCAATCAAAACATGCATGTCTCGATGCTGGTCCAGGTTAAATTATTCGTGAGCGAATCGACATCTTAGGAACAATAATATGCACCGACATTTTTACAAATTATTTCACGTATCGATAGTTCGTGAACAAATTAAAATAGTTTCTAGCGGTTTTAACTTCTGTCTCCCGAGAAAAATCCCCCTTTTCATGTACTTTCGGGTTTACATAGAATAAAATGCGAATCTTTAGCAGGATTTCAAAGAAAACCATAAGTTCTGAACATCAATTCCGTCTGCTTACCAAGATAAATCGAAGAAGTTCTGAGGCGTGCAAAAAAAACCGCGCGTAAAAATAATTGATTTTTTTCTATTAGACCATGAAACTTGAATATTGAACTTTCCATCGAACGCATACTAGTATACCAGTGCAAATATTATCGAAGAGATTTTCTTTTTTCCAATGGCGTCTAAACGGTCTAATGACTGAGTGAGAGTAATGAGCTGTTGATTCCGATGCCTATATTCATCAGTAGACTTCCAGGGTCACAAAAGGGAATGAGACTCGTTTAAAATGCAAAACCGCTGTCTTCGCTGCCCCTTTTCTCCATCACGGTTGGCATTATCAAGAATCTATGCATCCTTCCGGTAGAACAAGCTGGCAAACGAAGCTTTTGCATCCTCAAGCAAAGCGTCAATCATCAGCTTGGCTGACACCTTGGCTGCTGAATTCTTCAAGGCATTGAACCCACGCGATGAGACGGTGCTTTTTTGGATTTTTAAAATGACTCGATTCATTTGAAACACGTACAGTATTTAGAATCGAATTATAAGCCAAAACGTTTTGAACCTCGTGAACGCTGCTGGGAGGCGGCACATGAAGCGTATTTATCGATCAATCAGGATAAGGCCCCTGAAATCTTGTTTTATTCGACTGCATCAAAGCTGCCATCTTTCTAAAAACTTCAGAATTTCAATAAAAGCACGTTTTCTTAATGATGAGCATCCAATAATTCTTTATGATTTTCCAGGTAGTCTTCTTGGAAAATTTAGAAGGTATCCCTTAATTTAGTGTAATCTGATTGATGCTAAATTAACGCAGATAATTTCGTGTGGAATGAACCAAGCTGTACTAGACCCATATACGGCGCACACTTTCAGATTTATTTATCAAAGAATGAAAAAAATCTGTGTGACTGTGCAAAGGGTAAGCTGATTTACCTGTTGAGCTAAACGAAAAAATATATAAATATACACCAATTTTCACGCTGTGGCATTACATGAGCGGTTTGGTCAAACAAGTCGAAAATCTTTGATTCAACCTCATTCAATTCTTTTGAGGAAATTTTATGCTATATAGGCATCGGCCCGAAACGAGTCTTGAAAATACTGTACCATATTTTGAAAGTTGGGCTTCTTTTTTAATTATGGAAGATTTTTTGGAAAATGTTCTAATTGCCGACTACCCACAAGCAGCACGCATCAAGATAAAACTTTCCATTCTTCATAGACAATATTCCAGACTTGTTATCGGGATTTGAATCAATGCTTCAATAAAATGAGAAAAATGGCCGTCTTTTTTTTCTGAAAGCAAGGAAGGATGCCTTGCGCGTTCATCCGCATTTCATAGAGTTGAACCTTGCTAAGTTTAACCTCCCTAAGTCAAATACCTTTCTAACTCAATTTTTTTTTCAAGTCAATGTCTGGATTCCCGTAGAAACGATGCATATTGAAAACCTCCCCAACTTGAAGTATATTTCTCTCAAACCTGTGTAAGTCAAATTTTCTGAGGCCTTTTGGTCATTATTTCCTTGAAATATGATTTTGAAAATCAATATGAAACAAATGATGTTATTCATCTTGAAATGAAGTGAAAGACTAATTGAACAAATGAACCCCTGCCTCCAAGTTCAGCAAGCTGTAAACTCATTAAAAAGCAAGTTTAGGCCCAGAATATCCTCATCTACAATTTCCATCAATTTTTTTTTAACTTTTCATCACGTAAAAACAAAAATGTTTGTTTGCTTTACACGAAACCTCCCTAAGTCAAAACCTCCCTGATTCGAATTTTTTTCGTGGTACCTAGAAATTTGACTTAAGAGATGTTTTTCGAAAAATGTGGAATCAGGTCAAACTATCATCAGATATGACGAAGGGGCCACAGCTTTTCCACTCCTCCGAAACGAATTTCAACCCGGACATTTTTTTTTCTTTTGGACATCATTTGAAAATAAAGGGGATCTCGCTGTTTTACTGGAATAATTTCGGAAACCAGTGCCATGGCGTGTGCTGATGTGTCTCACACGTTATGTGCCGGAATCAGGAAACGGGCCTGGAGGGAAATGTATCGATCCCGCGTGGAAGGTCGAAAGCAGAAAGGCCCTACGCATGAATCAATCACTGCTGCTTTTCTGGGACCCCGAGCACCAAAGCACTAAGCACGCAGTGTGTGTTGGGTGTTTTCGTGTCGGGTTTCGGTGCACCACTGCATGGGTGACTTCACTGATGCGTTGAGCTTCCATACAAGCTTAAAACTGGGCGCAAGAGAGGTGATGGGGCGGTGGGTGTGATGGTTCGAGAGGGTTCAGAGCATTGAAGCACTGAATTTCTGGGTTCAAGTGGGGAAAACTGGTTCGAGAGGCCGCCTGAAGAGGGCCCCGTCTAAAAAGGAAACATCACGGGTTCCTGCAGAAGATTTATTTCGATACAGCCGAAGATGTTTTGAAAACGTATCTCAGATTAACTAAGCTTGCGATGAACCCAACCGTTTCGATCTGTTGCGACAATAATTCACTTCAGCTGTCATGGCATATTTACACAAAGATCCCATGCAATAAAGCTGGTTTTTTGTGTGTGTAATTAGATAAGCAAGCCTAATCATAAGATAAATTACCAAAAGAGTTTGCTGGATGAGTACTGCATAAAAAAATATCTGCTGTTCTCAAGCGTGTACTGTACTTATTTTCGTCAACTCATTCATTTTTGCGCCTAAGGATTTGGCATTGCCAGCATCAAAAGCTAGCTATAGGAATATTCAAAAGATTTAAGACATTTATATTCAATTGAAACTATCCAAAGAACCATAAATCACAAGATTCAGATGAACACAGAGAACAAATTTACGACTTCAGCAAGATATCATGCCTATATGAATTAATGAATTCCACCTAATTTTGTCATCCTTTTACCATGTTATTATCATTTCTCTGGTTGACTTTCTTTGACACCCGATGGGTACCAGCAGAGGGTTCCTCTCTATTGCACATCATGCAGTTCCAGCATTTCTTTTTAAGCATACTGAGTTTTGGTTTGACCAAAGTTATTCAAAACAGCACCTGAGCAAAAAGTCTAGAATTATTTTCCTAAACCAATTGGAAAAATTTGCAATTTCCAATGCGTCCCCGAATTTATTTTATAGCTGACTAGCTGAGTGCTGAAAAAGACGCCACCGTATCACGGTTTTTTTTTTTTGTCTCACAAATATCTTCAATTGAAAATTAAATCCCGTTGGTGTTACAAGT